ATGGCTGGCAAACTAGATTTATTGTACTCAAAGATGGTACTTTGTCTTATTACAAATCCGAGCAGGACAGCGGGTACGGGTGTCGTGGCTCGATTAGTCTGTACAAAGCTAATATCAAGGTGAGAGGTCGAGATATGTTTTATATAAATACTTATAAATACGTTCGACAATGTAAACATGATACGGCAGGTCAGGCCAATGAACAGTTGCGTTATCCGTTATCCGTTTTAACAGGCACACCAGTTTGACGAATGTAGATTCGACGTGTCCGTGAACGATTGCTTGGTTTGGTATTTAAGGGCAAACAGTCCGGAGGAGAAGCAGCGATGGGTGGACGTCTTGAAGTCTTACAAGGTAATGATATGTAATTTACTTTCGTTTACTTTTATTAATATAATTGTGTGATCAATATAAATTGCATGATTATTGTGTAATTAATATAAATTGTATGATTATTTTCATAAGATGTGCTAAGATTTAATTTGCTGATATTAATCCCGCAATTTTTGTTATTATTTACATATATTTTTATGAGATTTGGTCATTATTTATAAATGAAAATTAGAAATTAACTCTACCGAGTTAGATTTGTGCACCATGCTCAGCAATCTTTGTTTGCCACAAAACAGTCGGAATCCGGTTATGGGAGCGAGAATAGTCTAAAACGACACGGCAGTGCCATTTCGCTCGTGTCGAATACGCAGTCGACAACGAGCGCCGGTAGTCTTACTAAGCGCGGCATTAGAGGGCTGAAGGAAAAGTTGGCCGAAATTGAAACCTTCAGGGACATTCTGATCAAGCAGATCGATACTCTGCAGAAGTATTTTGATAACTGTGCGGAAAATGCCAAGAATACTTCCAAAGAAGGTAATAACTTTTACCTCGTAAACAATCCTTCATATTTCTATCTCTTGTTCAAAATACTTGGAATAGATTTATGACATAAATTTATGTCACAATTTTTTAATGTAACCGTAATTTATAATTTTCAAATGTAACTGTAATTTTTAATTAGGCCTGTTCGTTTTAGCTGAATTTTTTTGCACGGTTCATCTTTCCTCTTTTTCTTTTCACGTTGTAAAGAAAAGGAGAAAAGATGAACTGTGCAACAAGTACAGTTAAAACAAAAGGCCTGTCCTTTTCAGCTGAACTTCTGCGCGGTTCATTTTTTCTCTTTTTCTTTTCACGTTGGAGAGAAAAAGATGAACCGTGCAAGAAGTTCAGCTGAAAAGGACAGACCTAAACAGGCCTATTGTTACACGAAATATTTTGAAAAAGCTTTAATGTAATTAATTTTATTGCGATAAATTTCACAGAAAAGAAAATTGAGACAATGTTCAATCCGGCTGAACAATCGGTGGACTTCAAAGGGGAAGCTATAACATTTAAAGCCACCAGCGAAGGGGTGTTGGCAACCTTGCAACACTGTGTCGAATTGATGGTGCAGCGGGAGGATGCATGGCGCCGTAGATGGGAGAAAGAAGTTGAGAAGAAACGGAAGTTGCAAGAACTTTATAAAGTTCTGAAAGATCAAGTTGCCATGCATCACAACGGCTCTCCGAGACCTAGGGTCGTTATACACGGGGGTCCTGATTACGAGGTTGGTTTTCTCTCTTTTTTTTTTTATTGTCTCGTGATTTCTGTTTTAAATATGTATGTATTGTTCCCGAAAATGAATTACAATTTCGTACACAACCTCATTCTTTAATCAACCTCTTGTAAGTCAAAGTATTTGGTTTGAAGCCGAAAAACGCGAAATAAATAAATAAAAAATAAATCGTGGCGTATATGGGGTGAAAGTCAGAATTGAACCCGAGATCCGCTGATTATAATTCGATCCGTTTCTATAACCACATGTTATGGAGCCACGTGTTATGGAGCCACGTGTTGCCCCAAATTTTTAAATTCTAAATACTTGTATTTTATATAATTCTAAATATTTGTATTTAGAATTATAAAATCCTAAAACAAAATTCTAAATACTTGTATTCAGAATTATAAAATCCCAAAATAAAATAAGAATTTCACAAAATAGAAAATTTGGGGTAACACGTGATCCCATAACATGTGGCTCCATAACACGTGGCTTCATAATATATGGCTATAGAAGCGGATACAAGTATTTAGAATTATTTAAATACGCGATAAGTCGTCATAATAGAATTAAAAACAAGAAAAAATTTAAGAATTAAAAAAATACTTTTGCTCAATATGGTTATAAAACTTCTAATGCTTATGTTTATTCAATATGGACAAATCTATCCGTTTAAGTTGTTTGTCCACTACATTATATAACACTTTAACAGCACGTACACAACTATCACTTATATAACTATTAATATTGTGATAACGAAAATACTAAAGAGATATGAACCAACTTACATGAAATTGATCAATTGTGTTTCATATAGGAGTGTCATTGGAAAAATATCTCGTGCTAAAGGTGTTTTTGAAGTTAATTGTTATGTATAATTATTAATTTTTGAGAAACTAACATTTTTTGTTGATATTTTTGATGATAAGAATTCATCAGAATATTTATTTTCTATATTTTTATTCGTATATAGATATATACATATGTGTACAAAGGTAAATTATTACTTTTTTCCCAAATTCTTGAATTTTTTATTATATTACAAGTACTTTTATACGAAGATAATATTTTTAGTTACTCATTTATAAAAAATTCTTTACGACATCGTAATTGAATTTCTCTGTAGATGACATAAGTAGCGCCTATGTGTTAGAAAGTAAGAGGAATTTCTGACTATATTTCGCAATTATGAATTAGGTCACTACTTTGGAAATCTTTTGCCTGCTTAGTATCCTCCAGACTACTAAGGAGTACAGACTTATGTATTTACTTCTCATCTAAATATCTGTGTATTATTTCAATTTTATTATTATAAATTTTAATAATAGAAAAATGAAGATAAAGATAAAGTTTTATAATGTGAGTTTTTAATTGTATATAGAATAGTGATATTTAAATGTGTATAGGATTACTTTATGAGTTCATGTATTATGTCATGTATTATATCATGTGAATTATAAATTAGGATTCACAGAGATAAGTAAGCATTAAAATTATGTAACTTTTTTTCAATAACGTTTTGAAACTTTATTTTTAAGGAAGGTCCGCACAGCGCTCTTTGCGATGAAGAATTTTACGATGCCGTCGAGACGGGTCTGGACAAAATCGAGGAGGAGAATCAATTAAGGGATCGTTTAAAACAGAAATCTGTTTCAATTTTGACGTCCCCCACCACAACAGCGTCTACGCACAGGCTATGGCCAGAGGTAATTACATCTCTTTTGCATTTCTCTGATTTTATTCTTATTATTATTGAGAATGTACTTTCATTAATAATTATTATAAAAAAAAATAAAATAAATATTAAATAAAAGGATATTAAATCGCTTTCTTAATGTTCTTTTTTTGTGGCAACATGTGATAATATATATTTGTAATTTAATTTCTGTACGACAATAGTGTGTAGAATGTTAACATAAATAAATTTTTGATTGATGTTAATTTCTAAATAACAGTTATCGTTAATCATATTTGTGGTATAATTGAACCGCTTACATCTTTTGATTATTTCTTATTGCCAATTTGTAGATAGAGAAAATTACGATGGAGCAGCTGCATTACGCTCGGCTCGGCGTAGGCGGAGCGGGTGGCTGGCAATTATTTGCCGAAGACGGTGATATGCGAATGTACCGGCGGGAGGAGGAAGCCGACGGACTGGTCGTAGATCCTCTCAAAGCGTGTCACGTCGTCAAAGGGGTGACCGGTCACGAGGTCTGCAAGATATTCTTCAGTCCCGAATACAGGAGTGGTTGGGAAGCCACCTTGGAGGACATGGCGATCGTCGAGAACATTTCCAAGGACACACTGTTATTTCTGCAAACGCACAAACGTATCTGGCCGGCGAGCCAGCGCGACGCGTTGTTTTGGTCGCACATCCGCCGGGTGTCCGATGATCAGGATCGCGACGCACACGATCTGTGGATAGTCTGCAATCACAGTACTGAACATCCCGATCATCCGGTATGTATTATACGTTTCATGCAGAAGTTTCTTCGTTTATTAGAACAAGTTACAGCAAGTTGCTAAGTGAAATTAATCGTTGCAGCCAAATGGGGGTAAATGCGTGAGAGTTTATCTGACGGTTTGTCTCGTATGCCAAACATTTATCGATCCCCCGAAAGACGAAGAGGAAATAAAGAGGGAGAACATTACGTGTAAAATAACGTACTGTTCAGTTGGTGAGTATATTGATGTTCAGTAATTTAATCGCCGTTTCATTCGTTTCTTTTCATGCGTATATATAATTTGATTTGAATTTCAGTAAATCCGGGTGGATGGGCCCCGGCAGCCGTTTTACGGGCCGTTTACAAGAGGGAGTATCCAAAGTTCCTTAAGCGTTTCACGAACTTTTGTATCGATCAATGCAAGAACAAGCCGATCACATTCTGAATGTGACCGATAAGAAGAAAGAAAAAGAAAAGAACTTCAATGTTTTCCATCCAATTCCTTATTCACTATCTCGAAGTGTCTTCACGTGATTACTGTAAAAACAAGTTTGTATTGTTACATACTGTAGGAATTGTAGAACGGCCATTACAACGTAAGTGATACCGTTTTGTATATTACCTTTTCTTTTTTTATTTGCTTAAGATAATCGACTTATATAGCTTGCGAATGCAGAAGGGGGGGGAGACGAACCGTTATGTTAAAAGCCATTTATGATATAAGTGAGTGTATAGCAATTATATACACTTGAAAAAAAAAAAAAACGACTTCGATGAAGCACGCGTGGCTACAGCACCGTTTACAGACTATTTTTTTTTCTCTTCGAATAACAGCCTGTTATATTTGTCATACAGAACGTTGTCGCAAAATCCAATTGTACAAATCTTTAACGAAAATTGGATACATTTATCTCTTGTTACACATTACAATCTAATTAAACGCTGAATTGTATAATACCAGATTGTACTGTTATTTTTATTCGGACATAAAAACGTGTACATTGCTATGCGATATAAAGGTCACATGGAAAAACGTAATAAAGACTGTTGTAGATTTATTATAAAATAATCATTTCCACATCGTGCCCATTCGTCAAACCTTTCATCTCATACATTCTCGTACAAAAAGAGCACAGGAAGGTGAGCATGAAATAGGTGAAACAAATTCATTTCTGTCAATAAACGAAACATAAGAAATTATATATACAGTGTACAAAATTCTCTCCCTCAAATAATCTTTTAATTTATGTATTTTACGAGGTAATTTTAACAAAAAATTCAATTCTTGCATAACTTTTTAAAATATTAAATCTCGCATAATAAATGTCCGATTTATGATCTTCAATTATGATTCTTTAAAGAGGAGCAAATATTTCTTCTTATAGAAAGTAATAATATGACTTAGTAAAAATAGAAAATAATTGTAAAAAATTACATTTATCTGTACAATACACCTTACGAAAGAATATCCAAAAGTAAATGCATATCTTAAAACTTTTTGTGTTGCGTGAAATAATAACTATAATATATGTATACTTATATATAAAGTATAATTAATGGTAATAATTGACTGAAATTAAAAAGATCGCAGACCTGCATGTGAGTGTGACAATAATGAGCACATAAACAAGTATGATATGAGAACCAAATTGGAATCATTGTATTGTAAAATATTTTGCGATACACGTATAATTAAAATTTTATGTTTTCATTCTATGATTCTATGCATTGTTGCTTATAATAAGAAAAAGTTGTAAATATCTCAACATTCCATATATACAAATCTAACTATTTAATTTCAAACAGTTTTTAATCAACAACAGATTAATGGCTATTTTCACTTATATTACGTATAATTCATGTTTCATAACATGTATGCATATGAAATAGGGACTTTAAATGTAAAGTCACGCACCGATCATGCTTGCGGTTTTTTCTTTACATATTACCGTAATGGAAAGGCAGATAGTGTTTCACATCGAATGAAATCGTTTTTACAATTTCAATTGTATTTACACCTTTTTTTTAGAGAATAGTATGACAAATACAAGGAAATAGGAATGAAGTTTTTTCATCAGGTATCACGTAAGTAACAATAAAACTTAATCGATATGTTGAACATTTACCTGAGAGCTATAAATACACATTAAATGCAACATCGTTTTCATACCTGATTGACGAAAGTATTTCACTCGAAAACTATCCGAAATATGACGAAATCACGATTTTATTAAATTAATATTTAATGTTCACATTCAATATTTTACTGGAACCATGATACTCGACTGTACCTTCTTCGAAATCCTTCATCTTTTGCCGTACTTATTTGAAATTATATCACGTTTAATCAAAGAGTACATTAGTTTACTAGAGTATCAAACAGCTAGTAAGTCTTTTAAAGTACTTCTCTTAAAGTACCTTTTTACAATTACATAACAAATCATAAAACTGCGGCGCAAGTCTAACTCTCAAGAACGACGTTTTTTTTTTAGGTATAAAAAACACTCGATTGCTCATTAAAAATTTCGTAGCCTACATTACTATGACTTTCCTTATGATTCGTAAGAGCCTAATTTCTTTAATACACTAAGACCCTTCTCTTCGTATTCCTCCCGCGTTATCCACACGGAATCACGGTCTTTCGTTATTTCCGCTAATACAGCACCACCCATGAAAACCATGTCCTTACGCCGAGGTGAGTCTTCAATTTTTATTTTAAATTTCTGTAAAAAAAATTTAGTACGTAGTACAGGCATCTGCAGTATACATATATATTAGTACTATTAATTATGATACACTTACACTCAATTTAGTGATATCATTCTTTAATACTCTTTGAAGATAAAGCTGCTTCATTTCTCGTTCAAGCCTCGATGGAAGCCCCGGATACATTGTACTACCGCCGCTCAGAACGATGTGCTTGTATAGCTCGCTTCTGATATCGATATCAGCCGCTTGAATTGTGCTAAATACCAGCTCGGCTATTCCCTGCGCCTCGACATTAATCAAATGAGGCTGAAAGAGCGCTTCCGGTGCCGCAAATCTCTCACCGCCCACTTTGATCACACGCCCGTCAGGAAGCTAAAATATTCACAACAATTTGTATATCTTAGTAAAAATTACTTAAATATTAATAAAATTACCGTATACGCATAATAATATTTTACTTACGGTATAGGATTCTACTAATACAGTGGTTTCAAGAGCCAACTTCTCTTCGGTTTCTATGTTGTAACCGATGTAACATAGTTTCTCCTTCAACATTCGTACCGTCTCAAAATCGGCCGAGTGATTGAACGCGTAGCCGCGCAGCAGCAGCAATTTAATTAAATACATCGTAATATCGCGTCCGGCTATATCCAACCGTCTGGTCAAATGTGGCAGAGCGTACTCCTCGAACACGGGGCAAATGTGCGTGACACCGTCGCCGGAATCCACAACGACGCCGCTGATCAAGCCCTGAGCGTATAACGTCAGTACTGCCTGAATCGCGATGTACGTCCCAGCGAAACCGTACTTCTCAAACATCACCTTGAAATAACATCGTGTTTATTAAGGTTTTCAATTCGTATGAGTTTAACTTAACTTTTACCGGATTGTGCAACGTATTACCTCTATCATCTTTTCTCTATTCGTGATGGGATTCATCGGTGGTTCGGTTAACAGAATTTTACATTCCTTAGGATTAATGTTCATCTTCTCCTTGCCGAACGTGTAGTCCCACACGTGACACATGTCTTCCCAGTTTCTATCAAGTGTCGAATGTTATTGCAGTGATTTATGTCAAGTACAAGTAGCCGATACAAGATATGTACATACCTGACAATCCCATTTTGCATTGGGTAACTTATCTCTAACATAGAACGAAGTTTACTCGCTTCATCGCCAACCATTAAGTCCTGTGTGACAATAATATATGATTATCAAAACTCTGCGTGCATCACCTAGATATAATTATATTCATTTTACGAAGACAACATTACAATTTTGTACACAGTCAGTAAATATATCTGTAGTACAAAAATTCTAAGTATTTAAACTACACTGGCTAGCTAAATATCCAAAGTGTGTGCGATAAATCTGCTTTCATTACATATGATAGGAAGAAAATTAAAATAATTCCTGATATGTAAAATTTTGCTCTATCAGATTTCATAACAGATATTTAAAAAAATAAACATTTCCGATTATTTTTTATATACCAAGAACTAGCTAATGTTTTCATAGAATCTCATGGTTCACAGTATAATCGTAATATATTACTTCTGTGAGACTCTGGTTACAGGAACTCAGGAAAGTATTTTATATCAAATCAGTTTCCAAACGTGTGTATACCTAAGTCCTTTGGAAAAAGTTTGTCGAACTACATCGTACTACAATACTTCCACGCCTACGGTCGGAAAAACATTCTTCCTCGTTAAAACACTGATGTATATAGCATCAAAAAAGTACAATAAACTTACAGGCATGTTAAGCACATCCTACGAGAGCAAATGTAAGCACACAAATACATTAGATAATCATAGGAAGAGTATAATATGTATGTAAGTACCCGTACAAGTATAAAAATTGTAATAAACGATATTGTTACGATAAATGTATTAGCAAAGGCAATGGGTGCGTTCAGCCGATACTCCGCTATAGCCTAGCAATCGTGAGCAGTCGCTCGTTTTCTCTCCTTTTAATCCATTGGGTCAAAAGAGAGGAAACGAGCAAAAACGAGCGACTGCTCACGATTGCTAGGCTAGCGGAGTATCGGCTGAACGCACCCAATATCTTTTCGCTTCGTCAAAGCAGACACAACATTTATGTCACTAGAGAATTTTCAAGATCTCTCGCAAGAAAAACATGGCATCCAATACAATGAATGAATTTTCTCACACGTAATGTAAAATCACTCACTTAACGATAACATTGCAGCTTCAAAAAATTGTTAATAAACTCATCAAACGATTAAATATCAAAATGCTATGAGTAATGGTCATCTTACATTTCAAACAAATATTCTCTTTTGTTAGTTAAAACGCCACTCGCCAGTCTCTCAAACTGTTTTATTCAACATCAGTGGACAAGCACGTAGATTATTTTCAGTTGGACTTAAGCGCTTAAGAGGGGGGCAGGGAGAGCACACGACGTAATACTATATAATGGACTTACACGAACGCAATATTCTTGCTGAAAATATAATTATTCTTATTATTCGTCTGAGTACTGCTAAACACGCTCAAACAATTTAAAGCTCCGAGCTCCGAAGATCACATAGACTTTATATATGCAACTTGATCAATAAAAAATTAAATCCTTCCACGGTTTTTTTCATTAAATTTCGAGATATACACTTCTCATCTTTCGTATGGTTCCATAAATCGATTACAGTAGAAATCGAGATTCGCCTTTCATTTATAAATACAACTGTTGTATCATTTGCTTTATATATACCGTTAACTTTTGTGACAAATTGAACATTTAACGATGAAGTATCAAATGGTGATATTTCCGTAAATCGAACATCGACTACTTAACAATAAGACACTCAAGTACGACAACAAAATCGTAATTACTGGCCCTGTGTCCTTAAGCTCGCACGAGTTTGAGTCAATGAACCTACGTACCTTCACGTCGATGTCGCCGATCTTGTTGACAGCTCTGATTATCGGTCGTCCGACTATAGACGGAAATATAAAGGCAGGGAAGTTGGCGCCGGCGTATCCGCACTTGACAAACTGCAATAAAAAACTGCATCAGTGTTGAGAGTACGCGGACTGTCCGCCTCGATAATAATATAGCTCTAGCTCGGTTACATTCTCTCGCAATCGGTGCAGCGAGACCCTCGCAGAGGCTGCATGCCTCTCGTGAGGGAAACGAGCGGCCTTACCCCGGTGCCATTGTCGCAGACGATGATCTTCCTCCCCTTGCTGTCCATTTTGACGTATTATCCCGTTCAAAAGAATAATTTATCTTTTTCACTCTCTCTTTCTCTCTCTCTCTTTGGCACACTTGTTTAGATAGCCGTCATATCGCCAGTTCCATCGAGTGACTAATACCTGCGGGTTAAAGACAGGGCGTTACCGGTGTGCGGCACCAAAGCGACAGACGTTACTCTCGACCGTATTTACCGTTTCGTATCATCAGCCGGCGACTCGCGCGAGGGTAGCGGAATCCAGCGCGAAAACGGGAAGGGAAGAAAAAGGGAAATTGACGTCCCCGGACGTGGAATTTACTCGGCGCACACGAGGAACGGCGGGCGAGCAGATCCGAGTATTCCGAGTAAACTCAAACCGAGAGCCTCCATCGTTGGGGGAGACAATGAAAAAGGCCTATCCTCATGAACGGACAAACGCGCGAGCGGCAAGCGGAATCCGCCAATCATAGAGGTCACGAACTCCGGAAACTTCGAAATGTGGAGCTGCCGGTTTTGGAGCTCTTGACCGTGATTGGTCGACGAGAGCCTGTCGCTTATTATCCCGAGCCAATGGCGTGCGAGTTGCGCTATAAAAATTGCATCGTGCGCGATCGGCTTTAGATCCATTCTTTGCAGCATACTTTGCGTTTAAAATGAGATAGATGTATAATTCTAATATAAATAGACATCGGAGATGAAAAGTTAAGAAATTAAAGAGATCTTATATTCATAAGAAATTTATTCTCCGTAGCTGAACTTTCTGCATCTTCAATTCCTCTTCTTTCTCTGTTCAACATTTAATTGTAAAGACATAAATATATAGGAATATTTTTAAATTTATATATCTTAATATTTCATACTTATTACATAATTATTCCTATATATTTATATATCCTAATATATATTTTTATTTTAATATGCTCCAAATTGTGCGCAGGGCCTAAAGTTTTCGAATTTCCATGGCACAGACTAGGTTAGGTTAGGTTAAGTTAAGTTAGGTTAGGTTCAAGGCGCTTCCATGCAAGCTGAGGTTGACAGTTCGACAGGTTCGATGTTTTTAAGTGTTTCCGAATGTCGCGAAGGATTGGAAATCCGTGTGAGGGCAAGAGAAACATTTTTCCGTAACGCGCGTGAGCTATCAAACGTGAAATTAGAGCGTGAATGACGTATACAATAATTACGACGTGCCTCTAACCAATGATCGAATGACGCATATTTTCTTAATTCTTTCGCAACAGTTGATCAGAAATGTCCACAAGATTACTTAATCATAAACCTTTATTTTGGCAAATCGACTGGTGAACGACAGAGTTCGTCTTTTCGTATAAAATCGCAATTTAAAAATCCATTTACACCTTGCGCGTCTGGTCAGTGTTTTTTTCGCAGCCTCATCATTGAACGTCATCGTTGAAATTTCTAGTAGATGACGATTCCAATTTGCTTGCTCACGGTAAACTGGTGATATACATCACTCGGCTCGGACGCGTTGTAACCCTCGCTCAGGGACTTGACGTTTTCGAACGACAACAGATTTATCACGCCCGGAGGTATCCCGGATGTCGAAAACATGTCGCAGTACGGCGCCAGATCGCACGACTGTTTGCTACATATCACGATGACGGAATTGCCGATGATCAAGCTCTGCGCCAATTTGCGAAACAGATCCGTTTCATTCTGCTCCATGAGCGTGATAACGCCCTTCGGCTTGCGGATTCTTATGATCGTCACCCACAGCGGCGGATATTGAGGGATCAATGAATCCTTGTACAGACGTGGGAACGTTGTCCATTTGTGTACTATTTTTGACAATTCGACTTTACTGAAAAGAGAGAAGAGATCAAATTTGTACCGAGTATTACGAGAATATAGCCAAATCTGTCGAGAAAAGATTTTGAAAGTGTCCGCTGCAAATTCTTGTCAACGGAATGCCAGCAGAAGAATGTAACAGAACTTGTCAACAGAATATAATGGCAGAAACTGAGCGGAGTCTGCCGTTTTGTAACTATTTAAATGTTTATAAAGTAACAAAATCTCTGTTTGATTTCTGTCAATGCTCTATCATCAGATTATATCGGCAGGCTGTGCTGGCAAAACACAAGTTTGACGCACAGGTGACACCGGATCTGTGTTGCAGTATCTGAGTAAATCTGCTGCCAATCCGTTGTCCTACCGCGACAGTTTTTGCTCACTGGATAGCCGGACATACCCATTGTATTTCAATGCGGACGAGAACTTGGATAACACTTTCGTTCTGGATTCAGTGGACCACTTACTCCAGGTTTCGAACCCTTTCCTAGCTGATACAACGCATCTGCCAATGTCGTCGCTAGAATAATATTATAAATAAGAAATCTATTACGGATATATATAATTGTTATTGAAATTCGTTGTTAACGTGTTCGGAAGTTCAAGATTTATCGACGGTTAAAGTTAGACGAGTTATGTGAATTTGTACCTTGATGCTTTCGCCGTGAGTACGTCCTTATTTGGCCAATACATGCCTTCCACAGGCGTTTGCCATGTACCGTCGTAAAACAGAAGACTGTGACGGTTTTTAGGTGCATCAGGGTATTCCTTGCCCGGTTTATATACAGGCTTTATCGTGTTTATTATATGTTGATTTTCATCTAACTCGAGATGTCTGTGCAGCGAAATTTTGAATATTTCTACGTGAGGCATCGTCGTCATGCTTTCGTAGAAATCCAATGTATTGATGAGTATAATATTTCTCTATAAAAAAAAAAGAAGATATCATTAATAGCGTTTGAAACAATTTGATGATACTGTGCTGTACAATTTAAATGGAACACACATCTAAGGATGTCGCTAAATTTCTCGCAGCCGTCATATCTTCGGACCAAACGGACGTTACGTTTACTTTATAAAATGTAGGAGGTGTAAGTAACTCTTGCTTAGATTTAAATATGCGAATGGCACTACTGAGACTCGTGAAATATTTATTTCTAAGGAATAAAAAATTGCTTCTTATCGATTGCGGTACCCATATTTTACTTAAATATCGACAGTTTTCAGATATCTTTAAATAGCAAATAACTGCGTATAAATCCGCATCTTCCAGGAGTATCATTTCAACGATCATATCTAAAATATTGAAAATCTTGATTACGAGAGACAAAAATGTATTTTTGAATTATATTGTAAATATGTTTCTTATTCTCTTACGTGAAAGTAGGCTTTTATACTCTCCATATAGATTATTATCTGCCGATGATTTTTTGCTAAAATAGAAAAATAATATATCGATCTATTTCGAAACTCTTTTTGCGTGTTGGATACATTTTTAA